CAATTTATAAAACTACTAAAGTGTAGTGAAAAGTAAGTTTTATTTAACGATTCTGTATTGCTGCTATCTGAAAGATCAACATAGATTAGGCAACACTGAAGGAAGGAAAATATAATGATCGTTATGTTAAAATTACTTAGATAGTTTCTATAGATTATTTAACGCACTTCTTTGCTATCAAAAAGTTGACAATTTCTTTGACAGTAACTCTTCCTTCATTACCTACCTCAGTAACCCATTTTTCACAGAACATTAATTGACGTTCTACTAATTAGTCTCTGAAAGGCGGAATAATAAGATAACAGTCTAACTGTAGTTTAGAATAGTAAATAGTTAAACTCTATGAGCATTCAATATTGACGTTGGTTTTTTTCTTTGCATTTAGACAGTCATTTATGTTCTCCTCCTTATTTGGTAGCCATATGTTTCGTTAGCAGAACAGCTACAAGTATTAACATGTTTTTAATCTTCAATCTGTTTTAATCAGTAATTTTGATGTGTTTTTTGTTGTTGTTTTTGCTTCCGTTTGTTGACAGCTTTTGATTAAGCGTTTGTTCAATGAACAAAATGTGCGAAGAAATAATTAATCAGGAATTTCTTTTTGTTTTTTTTTTTTTAAGTTGTAAAAGAGGAAAGGTAGCAAGAAAGAGATTAATATAAAAAGTGGACAAATTAATTAAAATATGCTGATACACGGGAGTTCTATAATAAATGTCGAGCAAAAATTTAAGATGATATTTTTACAACTGCTGTGTACGGTCGTCGATCATCTAATTTTTCTCAACTAAAATATTTTATTTCTATCATCTCGACAAATCTCTTTTTTTTTTTTTTTCTTATATACATCTGACTTTTTTGGTCCTTTTTTTCTTGTTTTTCGTAAGTCAACAGCTTTAAAAATGCTAATACATAGAAGCGCTTCAGTGGTTATAGGAATTCGATGCCTGTGTTTAAAATTTCATAACATCAATATAATTTTGATTCTATAGGCTTAACGTTGTAGCAGTGATCACTGTAAAAGTTGGTGTTAACATTCAAAATCATCAATTTTTTTTTTTGATTTTTTGATTTTTGGTTAACAGCGATTGTAGGTGGTGATTTTACAAAGATCTGCAGAGAGAGAGA